CTTGGTTTTTATTTTAATCTTCTGTAATAATTATTTTAATCTCCCAAGCAAAGCATTATGGGATTTGTGGACTGTTTTGGTCAGCTTTTTTCCTGGCTTAGTGGTGGCTCATGCAAATCTCGTGTGTGTTGTGCTGTGAAAGCAATATGAAATTTCTAGATAATGAAGCAATAATTCCCACGTACGTCTGACTATCTGATACTACTAAGCCTGGGCTGGTGTCCTCATCAACAAACGCATTAGTGAAGTTCAGAGTTTTTATTTATTTATTTTTCTGCGCAGTTCTGCCTCAACCTCAGCAGATTTTGTAAGAATGTTTGTGTGTAGGTTGTGAGTTAATATGTTTATTTATTGGGAGGAAATCTTACTGAACTGGCAGTGCCATACTTGTTCTTACGCACTTCCACAACTTTTTATATAGATTTTTTTCAATCAGTAGTGAAATCAGACTGGGATAAGGTTAGTTGTGTCCTTTTGCAGTTTTTTTGGATGTTGGGCAATAATATACAAAAGCTCTTAAAACTTGGCTAGTTCTCCTATCAGCTCATTAACTCTTACCTGTATTAGAAGCTGTAATGAAGAGAAGATTGGGTGATTTACATAATTGTTTCAAGCACTCAAAGAGTCCCTTTTATTGACAAAATTAAAAAGATGTTTGTATATGACTGGAGTACAATTCTTTTTTAATACACGTAATCCTTGATTTACAACTGCATGTTTTGTGACCATTCAAAGTTGGAACAATGCTGAAAAAAGTGACTTACGGCCATTTGTTACACTTATGACTGTTGCAGACTGTTGGCCCAGATCATCAAAATTGGTTCATATTTATGGTGGGTGCAGCGTCCTGGGGTCATTTTTTGTGACCTTCTGACAAGTAAAGTCAATGGGGAAGCCAGATTCATTTAACAATTGTATTAGTAATTTAACAACCGCAGTGATTCACTTAACAACTGTAGCAAGAATGATCTTAACTTGGGGCAAAATCCACTTAACAAATGTCTCACTTAGCAAAATAAACGTTGGGCTCAATTGTCGTAAGTCGAGAAATACCTGTACATTTATTTTTTGCTTTTAAAATAATGACAAGCAAAAAGAACAAAACACCAAAATATATACATTGTCAAAAATACACAAATGCTTAAAACTACGTTGAAAAAATACAACAAAAACAAGATACAGAGAAAAATATGTTCTTGGAATAGTTACAATTTTATATACAATTACCTAATACATTCAAGACTGTTTTTTTAATGCACTATATGACTATCGTGCTTATAAATGAGTCCCATATTTCCTCATATTTATCTGTACAAAATCTACATCTGTAAGCAATCTATTCATTGCAAGTGTCATCAGCTCTTCAATCCATTAAATGACTGAATTTATTCATACATTTATCTTCCCAATATTGCAATATTGTTAGTTACAATAAGGGCCTGGAGAATCACTTTAAATTGTCTAGTTGTCAAATTCCATGCACTAGCTATGTAATTCAATAAAACACTACCCTCTGAAAGCTTTGGGGTTTCTTGCACGGTCACATTTTTATAGTTTATTACTTTCTCACAAACTTAATAATAATTACTATCTCTTTTTCCTGTTGTAAATGTTGATCAAGGGTTAGCTATATGAAATAAAAATCCTTCTGTGTAAAAATGTAAGTAAGTAAGACTGATTTTTCCTTATTGCCCTCGAAAATGATACTAGGGTGTTTAAGCAGTTATGGACAACGTTTTTCAAACTTGAACTTGAAGATCTGTGGACGTGAGCTCCCAGAATTCCCCAGCCATCCTACTGCCTCGAGAATTCTGGGAGCTGAAGTCCATACATCTTCAAGTAGTCAAGGTTGGAAAATACTACACTAGAGATGACCTTGAGGTCTTGTTGAATAAATTAATGTTAGTATTCCTGAGGTTCCTCAAAACGGTTGCAGGAACTGGGTATGTCTAGTTTAATGAAAAGAAAAGGACTAGGGGAGACATGATAGCAATTTTCCAATATCTCAGGGGTTGCCACAAGGAAGTGGGAGTCAAACTATTCTCTAAGGCACCTGAGGGTAGGACAAGAAGCAATGGGTGGAAACCAATCAAGGAGAGAAGCAACTTAGAACTGAGGAGAAATTTCCTGACAGTTATAGAAGAATTAATCAGTGGAACAGCTTGACTCCAGAAGTTGTGAATGCCCCAACACTGGAAGTCTTTAAGAAGATGTTGGATAGCCATTTGTCTGAAACGGTATAGAGTTTCCTGCCTAGACGGGGTTGGACTAGAAGACCTCCATGGTCCCTTCCAACTCTGCTATTGTATTGTATTAAGATGTGGCTGTATCATCCAGCTTGGGGGGGGGGAGTCTCAGGGGACCAGTAAGATCTTAAGGTGGCTCCGACTTACGACATTTTGTTTAGTGACCGTTAAAGGTACAACGGCACTAAAAAAAAGTGACTGTTTTTTTACATTTACGACCCTTGCAGCATCCCCTGGTCACATGATTAAAATTCAAATGCTTGGCAACTGACTCATATTTATGACTGTTGCCGCGTCCCAAGATCATGTGATCCCCTTTTGAGACCTTCAGAAAAGAAAGTTAATGGGAAAGCCAGATTCACTTAACAACTACAGTGATTCACTTAACTATGGCAAGAAAGGTCCTTAAATGTCACTTAACAAATGTCTCACTTAGCAACAGAAATGTTGGGCTCAATCATGGTTGTAGCTTGAGGGTTACCTGTACATGGTTAATATTTATTACTCTTTTTTATGCATTAGATTTTTATTTTCATTCTAATAATAGCTTCTTATATGCTAATTGTTCTTAGGCCACCCAGAGTCACTTTTTCTGTGATGGGCAGCCATAGAAAATTTGATGTATTAATAAGTAAAATATAAATATGTAAATAAAACAAGCTGGAGAGAGACACTACCACCTGCCTCTGTGGAATGTGCAGGCGGGCGCCCTTCCCTCTTTCTGGGGTCCTCCAGCTAAATTCTCAGTCAGAATTCCAAGGATTACAATCGCAGCACACCTGAAAAAGTGCCAAGTAGGGAAAGGCTGAGTTTTTGGGTGTAGCAAACGCCAACTGCCTTCCCCAAATGAACCACCTGATGTTTGGTAGTGGCCTTGGAAGCGTCCTGGGAAATTTCCTTGAAGCTTATCTAGTCTAAATAAACCTTCTCCTCTGTGTTCATTTTGGGGTGGCTTTGGAAAGCTGGCAGAAGGGTGTTCCAGCTTGTTAGGCAAGGCTTTGTCTTGTCCTGCCTTATAGCTTTGCCGCCTTCATAGTGATCTTCTTTTGGCAATAGCAATCAGACTTATATACCGCTCCACAGTGCTTTTACAGCCCTCTCTAAGCAGTTTACAGAGTCAGCCTACTTCCTCCAACAATCTGGGTCCTCATTTTACCCACCTCGGAAGGATGGAAGGCTGGGTTAACCTTGACCCTGGTGGGATTTGAACTGCCAAACTGCTGGCAGCCGGTGATCAGCAAAAGTAGGCTGCACTACTGCACTGTAACCACTGCGCCACTGTGGCTCATGAATGGCCCTTTCTCATTATATTTCTTCCTTCCTTTCTTTGATACCTTTGAACCTAATTTGTATGACTAGGTTCCCACATGATAAAAGAACAACTAGCATATTTGTTCTACGGGATTGGGTGGCATATAAATTTATTAAATTACGAAATTAATTACGAATTATATTTCAGCTCTGCAGATCCAATCCCCAACATATTACTAGTCCACAGGAGTGTCCTTTTATAATATTGTTCCTTACTTAATGCAAGCTTTTAAACTGCCCGGTAACTCATACACTTATCCATCATTTATGATTAAATTCATTAAAACTATAATCTGAGTAAAAGCGCCTACTGTAAAATGAAAGATGTGAAATAAAAACACCAACGAGGTAGTCCTCGGCTTACAACCGTTTACTTAATCACCATTAGACAGTTACAGTGGCCCTGAAAAAAATGACTTACGGCCATTTTTCAGAGTTATGGCTGCAGCCGTCGTTAAATCATGGCCACATGATCAAAATTCAAGCACCTTGGCATCTGGCCTGTATTTATGACAGCTGCACTGTTCCCGGGGTCATGTGATCAGCATTTATAACCTTCCCAGCCAGCTTCCGGTAAGCAAAGTCAAATGGGGGAAGTCAGACTCCCGTAATGACCTCATGACTCATTTAACAATTGCAGTGATTTGCTTAACAGCTGTGGTCGTAAGATGGGATACAACTCAGGTTAACACTGCCGTGCTTAGCAATGGAAATTTTGTGTTCCATTGTGGTCGTAAGTCGAGGACTCCCTGTATAAGCTAATTGGCAACACATCAGTCATAGAAAAAAAAATGATTAAAATACTATTGAAAGCCAATTAAAAATCCTGGGAAAATAGAAAAAGCTTCACTTGGCACTGAACTGATGCTAACTAGTTTATCGATTGAGCCCCTCCAGCTTGGGCCCTCTGTAAACAGGGTCCCACCGTAGAATAGGCTCTCTCCCCCCTCACCCCCTTTGTAGAGTCCCACTAGAGAAAGCTTCACTAGGCGACGTTAAGTTCGTAAAGAAAAAAAAATATGCAAAATGATTTTACAGAAAAATGAAAGTACTTTCTTCCTCCTGCCGTGAGAAATGATTTAAATATGCATGATAGCAGCCTGGCCTATGCACGCTTGCTAGAAGAATTTTTTTTTTTTTTTTAGTGGGGTAGGGTGTCTTTAAGTACACAGGGATTTGCTTGCAGGTCTTTATTAGATGTTCATAACAAGCGACTGTTTGGTGTCAAGTTCAGTAAGCCAGAATTGTCAAGAGAGCATCCTTGACAGCTTTGAAAAATCATAACTGGGACTGACAGCAGCTACGCTCCCCTCTTTCCAGCAACTGCTTCGGATCCAACTGGTTTTAGAAAGGAAATCCTGTAGGAAGATTGCCTGCTTTTCTAACATAATTTCAACTGATTTTTTTTTTTAAAAAATCACCCTTTTCTTTCTATCTCATCAGGGCCAGAATCCTTTCGACCTGGAATTCTCTCAGTCCACTCACCTGGAATCTGTCTTCAATTTTGAATGTTCCTCTCGGCCCGGTGAGCTCCCATTTTTGCCTTTTTGAGAAAGCAGTGGGGAGGGACAGGGTGAAGCAGGAGTGAATGGGCAGTTAATTTTCCCAGGGGATTTAGTTAGTTTAGTTTAGTTTAGTTTAGTTTATTATAATTTATAGGCCGCCCTTTTCCCTGAGGGGACTCAGGGCGGCTTACAATACATGGGAAGGGGGGTGCAAAACAAAAACACAAGACAGTGCATAAATAAAAATAAAACAATAAAACACAACTTTCATTCAACATTCGGGTGGGGCAAATTAGCATCTTATCCCCAGGCCTGACAGGATAGCCAGATCCTGAGGGCTGTGCGGAAGGTCTGGACGGTGGTGAGGGTGC